GGTCCAGTTTACATGAGTCCTCCCCTGGGGCCTAGATTCAAGACCAGGTTCACTCACACAGCCCAGCCAGGAACAAGACAGCCAGGAAACAGGACATGAAGAACAACTGCTCCTGATGTACCAGCAAAAGCTGGGTATGTGTGCAAGCGTTTATGCCTCCCCCAGTCTGGGCTGTCACTGTGGCAAACCCAGACTGTCTTTCCAGCTGTGCTTTTAACAATGACAGTGATCCTGGCATGGTAGTGTGTGTCTGGAGAGAAATCCTGCCAGGGCATTGTCATCCATTATAGTCAAGCCCACACCACGAAGGGATTGGAGGTTGTGCTGTGAGGGGTCAGTGGTGGTGGCTATAGGCCCTGATTCCTAGGGAGGGATGGCTTCCAAGCCTACACAGTTGTTTAATCTACATGGATGACTTCTCTGTGTGACCATAGACAATTTCCTGTCACTTCTGCCAAGAAAGGGGTGGTGGATGGTTGAGGGTCACACCTTGTAGCTCTAGGCACAACACCTACTTTTTCTATCAGTACCAGCCTGTGACTCCTGCCCTTTGGAGCTCAGTTTCCACATCTGTAAAGCTAAAGCTAACCCACTCCTTGAAGGAGTTGCCCCACAAGTCTGGATGGCTGAGAGCCTCACAAAGAAAATGTTGTCTAAGCACAATCTCTCCAGTTCTTGGTAGGCTTTCCTTCTGGAAGCCCACATCATCCTTTCATCCAGGTATCAGCTTGCCTGAGCTGATACAGGCACAGGAAAGGATCTGTATATGTTTGTGTTGGGGGTGTTCCACCTTGATATATGGATGTCAGTGAAATCCTCACTCATGATAAAATGCGCTGCCAGGCACACCATGCACAAAGCTGTCTGCCTACAGGCGACAGGTGAGAGGCCTCTGGAAGCAGTGTTTCTCATTTCCCCAGAGGCCCTGTGACATCAAATCATGATGGGGGGGGTGTAGCGGGCAATCTTTCCCACAGAGTGAGGGAAGCAAGAGCTGGGTTTTGCAAGCACCACCTCTCTAGCTAAAGCCATAAGAGGTCTGGGAATCAGTGACTGTCACTGCAAGGCCGGCCTTATCAGCTTTCCCCAGGGAACAAATCTTGTCATTATCTCAGATCACCCTATTTATCTTATGAGATACATCAAGACTGAGGCTGTAGCTCCTTGCTATGTGGCCAGGATGGGACCTGAATGCCATGTAGCCACACATCTGCCTAGAGTAGCTCACCAGAGGAAACATTAACCTCCCTTCTTCCCTTACAAAACACCACCAGTAAAGCCAACCTACCACTGACAGAGGGATGCCTTCCAGAAACTAGATGGCAGCACCCTTCACCTTATTCAGAAGCTGGGTGGCCCTGAGGTGGGGCCCTGGGATCTGGTCACAACTACTGGATGGTGGTAGGGTGGAGTTTGAGCTGCCCATCTTCAGATGAGCAAGCCATCTGGGGTTCCATCTGGTTCCTGCCACCACCACAGGCACCAGCCTATGGCTTTAGTTGTCTGGGCTTTAGTTTCCACATCTTTAAGATGAACTGATCAGTTTACTTCATGTAGTTATTTAGAGACCAAATGAAATGGTCTGTGAATTTGTCAGCATGTGTCCTTTCCTTTGGGAGTTAGGAATCTATTTGTATTTGCACATAACTTTATACTAAATGACACAACACTGTACTCTCAGTGCTAACAGAATCAGAACAAGGTATTCCTGGGACCTGAAGGTCTGTAATGAGTGGCTCAAAGATTGTGATTCAGGGCTGCACTTTCCCATCTATGTGAGGAGGGTGTTATATTCAACAACACCTCATTTTTCTGTCAACATAGACCTTCTGCAACTCCAAAACATTGTCTCACTCTTAACAGATGTGAGCAGGCTATGGTATGGCAAGTGATGCCCATGCAGGTGGGACAACATCCTTCTAGGGAGATATGAGGAAACAGTGTCTAGGAGACAGGAAGTAGAAGGGTCAGCAAGCCTGGACTCCAAGGAGCAGTCTGGGAACTTTCAGGAATAAATGAAGTGGAGAGCTGAGAGCCTGTGACATAGTAAAGACCCAGAGAGAGGCCTTTGCCCTTAAGCTCCCACTCTACCCTGGGGTGTGAAGGCAGTTACCTCCATCTCTGGAGCCATCAGCACCCAGGTGTCCCTCCCACAATTCCCAGCTCCTGGGAACTATTTGGTTGTTCTTCTGGAAGTATTCATAGGCATCCCTGAGCCTACCTTAGTCATCTTTTCCAGCCCAGGGCAAACTTCCTCTGTAAGGGCCATAGAGTAAGTCAGGTTCTGGGGGCTATCTGGTCTACCTCAGCTCTGTCTTGTACTGTCCTAGCCATCACTAGAAATCCCCAAACACACAAATAGGCAGGTTAGTTCCAATAACACTTTATTTATGGACAACAAAATTTGAATTTAAAGTATAATTCACAGGTCACAAAAATTTTTATTCCTTTGAGGTTTTTTTTTTAAACATTTAAAAATATAAAACCTATTCTAAAGTCATGGGTTGTGCAAAAACAGGTGGTCCACCAGATCTGGCCATGGGCTACAGTTTACAGGTTTATTCTGATTGGTCAGAACCAGTTTGTGGAGCAGCAGCCCCAGCCTCCAGCTTGTACCTGAGAGCTTGTTGAAAAGAATAGTTTTTGTTGCCTTTGTTTTGTTTTGTTTTGTTTTTCAGCTCTACAAATTCAAACCCTGGCTTTAACACAATCACTGCAACTCATGTGCACTTTAAGTTATAAAAATACTGACACCAGAGGGTCATTTCATACATTCTCATTTCAAGGAATAGAGTGTAGCCTGGACACTGAGCTTTCAAAGCTATCCCTAGTTGGTATAGCCAAGTTCAAGTACTTGAAACCCAGAGATCTCCCAGAGAATAGGGATGGCTCCAGAGATGGAGGTGACTGCCTTCACACCCCAGGGTAGAGTGGGAGCTTCAGGACAAAGGCCTACTGACTTTCTGAACCCAGGCCACTGTGTAAGGACACTGCCAGTCACTGAGCCCCCCTGGGACCAGTGTCCCACTGGATCCTAGGCTGGGGAGACCTCACAGATGGTCTCCCACTCCTCAGTGAGCAAAAGATGCTCCAGAGCTAGGCGTTCTCCTCCCATGTAATTCATTCTCACCATCCTCATCTCCAGTGTCACTGCCCCAGAAGGCAGAGAACACAGGAAGACAGCCTTGTGCCCACTCTCTCCTTAAACCCTGAGCGCTTCCCCCCCTTGCTGGAGTTCTGAGTTCTCAGGATAGTACCCATGTGCTAAATCCCAAGGACTCTGGGGTAAAGGGTATAAACAAAGGCAAGCCAACCCTCAGCAAATCTACTGAGCCTCAAAAACCCACTTACCCCAGTAGGCCCTGCCCTTCCCTGCTTAGAATCCCTACTTCCTCAGACCCCAACTTCTTCCTCTGCCTCTGATGGTCACAGGGGCTGAAATCATCCTGAAGAAATGTGAAGAGGGGACACACAGAACAGTTCAGAGCAACCAGTGTCTTAGCCAGACTGACCAGAAGTGTTTACAACCTTCAAAGTCCTAAATCAGTTGCGGGGGGAGGGGGAGATGGGGTGTGGGGACAAGGCATGGGGCAGTCTATGTCCCCTTGGACAGCCACCAGCATCATGGCTAAATGGGCATCTACCCCAGGTCTGATCCGTCTCTACCCGAGTATCTTCTCACTGAAGGCCTGAACTGAGCATGTACCCTGCAGATACAATCAAGACTTCCCCCTCGAAGTGACAACTTCCCACCTCCTGGAGACCCTGCCATAAGAATCAGCAGTCCAACCCTTGGGAATTCTGAAAAGGCCCCTGAGAAACCAGCCCTCCTCTTACTTCTGGGAGAAAATGAGCTCAGTGAAGAGAAAGGAACCCCCCCCCCAGAGTAGAGGCAGATAGAAGACAACCCCATCCCTCCATGTTTACCCTCTACCTCCTACTCGATCACAGTGCTCCTTCCTCAGAGTTCTCTCAGCTGGGGTGGGGTAAAGGGCAGGGCTCTGTGGCTCCTAGAATTGGTAACCAAGAGAAGGTTAGGCCCGAAGGCCAAGAACAGCATTACAGTGCCCTGCTTTTGAGTGCCCTCATGCTCAGTCCAGACCCGTAGAGACCACAGTGGGCAGCTATTTAACCCACCCCTTCCCGGCATAAAACAATAGAAACAGCTATGGTTGGCTAAGCACATACTGACGCCAGGATCTGAACTAACAACTGTGATTCTCTGAGGTGTCCCACCCCCCCACCCCACCCCCAACGCATAAACCACAGAGGAACTCAGACCCTTCCTTATAACCCTGCAAAAGGCCTCTGGCCCAAAACTTGCCTGGTGTTGGAGACACCACATGAACTCAGGGACAATCAGACAAGGCCTGAATTCCTCTTCTGTGTGACCCCGAGCCTTGGTTTCTCTATCTGTAAAATGGGGATACTTGTCTATCAGGGTATCTGGAAAGTAAAAAGGTGGATGAAAAGGAGAGCTCTCCAGGTGGCAACTATGAGCTAGCTGCCCCATAAGCAGGGCCTACAACCTCTCCTTCCTGCCCAAGCCTCAGGGAGCCAGCTTTTCCACAGAAGGAAGCAGGAGAGTGTCTTGTGGAATGTGGCAAGGCGCCTTGGAGCTGAACCCTGCCTTGCTGCTCTTCTTTAATTAGCTCTCAACTAAAAATAGCTACCCCCCACTCCCTCTGGGGCTGCACACCTCCTTTCTGGCCTGGCACTAGGGTGTGCAGGAGACACTCTTGGGGTGACAACCAGCCTGAGACAACCAGCAATGTGGAGGGTATGCTGAATAGGAGGTTTTGTTGAAGGGGGCATGGAAGCAGCTGTGGGCTTCTGCCAAGCTATTCCAATAGCCCCATGGCTCCTGCACTCCCCAGTCCCTTTATACCTGGACAACTGGCACACAAGGAGTCTTACCCAGCCTTGGTAGTGTCTGTTCAGGGGAGGGAGGGCTGGGAGACACAGGTAAGCTCCCTTGAAGCCACAGACATGCCTACTGGCATGCCTACCCAATGGTCTGTCCATCCACAGGTCAGTCTGTCCCTGCCCTGGAGCCAAGCCATCACTTGCAGCTCTGGAGTCGGGTCCTATGGTGCTTCTCTGTCAGCAGGGGGATGAAGGTATCGCTATGGGAGAGCTTCAGCCTGCTGCCCCAGCTTGGCCCCTCTCTGGCAGCAGGCTCTGGTGGCAGGGTATCCAGGTCACTTCGAGAGCCCCCGGGTTTGCCTTCTGCGCTGTTAGAATTGAGCTCCATCAGCTCCAGCTCATGTTTGGCTGCGGTCTCCAGAACACGCTGTTTGTTGTAGTACCTGACAAAGTTGTTGATGATGGGGTGAATGGGCAAGGCGATGGCAATTACTCCACACAAGAAACTAATGGCCGCATTGAGCTTGCCCAATGTGGTCTTGGGGTAGATGTCACCATAGCCCACTGTGGTCATGGTAATGATGGCCCACCAGAAGGACTGTGGGATGCTCTTGAACAGAGTTTCAGGGTGGCTCTGTTCCATGGTGTAGCCTAGTGCGGAAAAGACAAAGATGCCCACGGCCAGGTACATAAGCAACAGCCCCAGTTCCTTGAAACTGCGCTTGAGGGCGTAGGTGAGGGTCTGCAGGCCTGAGGAGTGGCGGGCCAGCTTGAAGATGCGTGCAATGCGCATGATCCGCAGGGCCTGTACAGCCTGCTGCACGTTGGTCAGCTCCATCATTCGTGCACCCAAGTGCGTGAGTGTGAGGCTCACATAGAATGGGAGGATGGCCAGCACATCCACGATGTTCATGAAGGACAGGGCGAAGTGCAGCTTGTTGGGCGATGAGAAGAGGCGTAGCAGGTACTCCAGTGTGAACCAACCGATGCAAGCAGTCTCCACGTTCTCCAGTGTCGGGTGCTCTACGCGGTTGCCCTCAGCGTCCACCACCTGCAGCTCGGGTATGGTGCCCATGCACATGACCACGGATGAGACAAGGATGAGCAGGAAGGATAGAACTGCCACCACCCGCGCTGGGCACGACGACTCTGGCTTCTCCAAAAACTTCCAGACACACTTCTGACAGCGGCGCCAGCGGCCCTCAGCTGCATCCACACCCAGGTCGTCCAGGATGAGCTGCACCCTGCGTGCGATCTCCTCCAGCTCCTCGTGCTTCTCGCTCAGGTGGCTCTTACAACAGTCATCCAGGAATTTGAGGTCCACCTTCCAGAAGTCCATCTCGTTCTTGAAACAGATGGGGCAGATGCCCTTCTTCATGTGGACCTCCCCAAAATAGTACACCTCGATAACACACTTGAACGCGTCCGGGTCCCGGTCGAAGTAGAATTCGCGCTTGCCTGGGTCGTAATCGTCGCACAGGGAGAAGATGGTGTCGTAGCCACCGGCCAAGCAGTCTATGAGCTCCGCCAGCCGGGTCTCGGGGTACTGGCTGAGCAGGTCTCCGTAGAGCACCTGACGCACGCCCCCCACATTCACCACGATCTCAATATCATCGCCTGCCACAGAGTCCTGGCTGCCAGGCTCCTGGAGGCTTTGCTCTGGTTCCGGGAGGCTTTGCTCCGCAGACGCGTCCATGCTCCCCGCCGGTGCGCTCACAAGCCCGGGTTCCCTGCGCCGCCGTGCCACTGCGCGGCCCTCGGGACAGCAGCCACCTGCTGGGAAAGGCACTCACAGCGGGCGGAGGCAGACTGGGGCGCACCGCGGGGGAGCCATGCACCCAGGGGCCGCAGCGACGGGGCTGTGCGCGGGCATCCAGGCACCTCGGCAGGGGACTCTGCCGCCGGTGGCCTCCGGTGTTCAGGACTCTCACCCACAGCTCCGGATATGTCGCTTCAGCTCCCTCCGGAATAGGACCAGGCTCTCCTGGCGGGTAGCGACCTCCTTCCAGGGCGAGCAGGCGGCGTCAGCGGGTTGGCCCAGGAGCTGCACGATGTGCGGAGAGCGAACTTGAACTGGCTTTGCCAGAGCCTTTCCGAAACACAATAGGAATTCCAGCCTGACGTCAAACGCTTTGCTACTGTACCCTCTTCTGGTGAGATTTCGCACCACACGCACTGCAGCTGCCCAAGAACGAGTTAACCCTTGGGCAGACGTGCACCGCGGCTGCCAGGGTGCTACAGCTATCAGCACCACCCGGCTGCGCCTGCGGGCTTAGGGGCTTACAATCCAGAGCTTTAAGGCCAAACCGACTCAGGCTGCTTAGTCCCTCCTGCACCTCTAGGTGAGAGGGGAAAGAGGACCCGCAGCCTGTTGCTCACCAAGCCCCTCAAGAGGCAGCTGCACACTCCTTGGGTACATCCCTTCTGCCCTAGGCTCCAGTAGACCTGAAAGGGTTCCTAACTCCCAGGAGCACTGCCCGGTTGGTGATGTGACCTTGTGCCCTACCCCAACAACTTGTCTCAGCTTCCAGATGAAAAAGGAAATTGCTTGGTGTTACAGGATGAAAAGGGAGGAGAACTTAGACAACCCTTAACCCAAGGCTTTCCTGCTGACCTAGCTGCTGGTTTTTGCGACCATAGGCTCTCAGAGCTTCTGTGGCCCCCATCCCTCACTTCTCTGAAGGAAGTCAGTTCTTCCAGTCGGATGCCCCCACACTCCCTCTAGAGCAGAAGTTCAAGTAGAGTTGGAGGCTATCCTGTGCTAGTGATTGTCTCAAAAAGGAAAGAAAGAAAGAAAGAAAGAAAGGAAGGAAGGAAGGAAGGAAGGAAGGAAGGAAGAAGGAGAGAGATAGAGAGAGAGAAGGGGGAGGGAGGGAGAAAGGTAGGGAGGGAGGGAAGAAGAAAAAAGAAAAAGAAAAAAAAAAGGTCGGAAGGATGAATAGGCAGAGCCAGTAAGAGGGGCGGATAGCACAGTGGAACTATTCTGTTTGATCAGGGGTGGCAAATCTGTCAAAACCCATAGAATGCACAACAGCAAGAGGGGTCCCTAATGGACACTGTGGGATGAGTGGGTGATGATGGCGCTTTGCAGCTGTAGTTTCCTCGGATGTGACAAGCATTCCACTCCGTGTGGGTGGGGTGGGGGGTGCTGTAGAGTCTGGGAAGTTGCATTTTTCTATAAACCTAAAACTGCTGGTTAAAAAAAAAACTACTAAAATGTATTCTGTGAGCTGAATGTCTGAGACATTCAAGATGGTGCTGTTCATGAATCATGAAACTGGTATACCGGGCCACTGGCAGTGTTGTCCTTTAATGGGTTAGTATGAAAACTGGATGCACTAAAATGCAGCACACATGGTATCATTTTGGGGAAACGACTCACAATATTTATTGCATTTCCATTTAGCCCCAGTCTATGATCTGCTACCCAGAAAAGCAAATTGAGGGCAAGAAAGGTTGGATGACAATGACAGTTAACACCAACACTGTGTACCTGGCATTCTGGATGCTTTACATTTTTCCTACTCAGTCCCTGGCTGCTCTCTGAGAAATCAAGACATCAAGTAATTGCAACCATCACCCACTACAGTTGGGGTCCGGGCTGCCAGGCTCCACGGCCCCTTTCTTACTGCAGTCCACCATCTCTACACCCTTAAATCCATTTTATCAGTGCTATCCCCATCTCATCTGTCTCCTGTTGTTCCCTGTCCAGGCAAGGTCCAGTGCAAATGGCATCTAAGTCTGGCTTTTATGGGCTTAAAAGGACCCATTCTCACTCTCACATTTCCTGGGGTCCTGCTCATGTCTGCATGCCTGCCACAGCCACCCTGAGCAAAGATAGACCCATACTCTACTGGGAATTCAAACACAATTACAGATAAGGGGATACGCAATGAGGGAGGATGTATGGGGGGTGGGGGTGGGCAGGACTGAGCTCCCCGTGGGCGGTGCTGTCAGGATGCTGCTGGTTGGAAGAGGAAGGCAGAAAAGCCAGGTGTTAGGGCCTGGGATTGTGTGCACCCTCAATTGGTAGAGTGCCTGCCTAGCATGCATGAAACCCTGAGTTCCACCCTCAACACCTCATAAAAATTGGATGTGGCAGAGACAGAAAGGTCAGGGGTTCAAGGCTCTCCTTGGCTATGTAGTGCATTTGAAGCCAGCCTGAGATACAATGCACCCTGTCTCAAAAACAAGCAAAACTCAGTGTTCGTTTGGTTTGATGGCACGGTGCCTCCACCCTAGGTACCATCACTGTGTGCAGCTGTACTAACAAACCCCAAGACTTGTAGACACCTCACCAGCACAGAAGAGGCTGGGGGTTAAAATTATCCTCCAGATTTAATGTACATACAAATCCCAAGAAGAGGGCACAGGCAGGGCAAATTCGGGCTTAACTAGGCAGTGCTGGGAACAGGAGAGCCTTCACTGGGGTCTCCACGGGAAAGTCAAGGCAGGGAAGAATAAAGAGCTCAGGGCTGGGAAGGTGGAGTCCTGACAGGCTCAGGATAAAGATGCTCTCTGTTGTTTTAGTACCCAAGTCTGGGATGGTTTAAGGCAGGGGAATACTGGCACACTGTGAAGATTTGCTGAGGAAGTGGGTGGGACAGGACTTAGAACTGAATTGGTCACCTGCCCCAGAAAGAATTTAAGAGTGAACTAGCCCTGAGGGACATTCTCCTCTCAGATGCTATAGCAGAGTCCATGGAGGAATACTACTCATAGCTTGTTCTCTGTGGCTTGCTCAGCTTGCTTCTTATGTAATCCAGGACCACCTATTCAGGGGTGGCACCGCCCACAGTGGACTGGGTCCTTCCATGTCAATCATTAATCAAGTAAATGCTCCTGTAGGAGCCAATGCAATGGGGACATTTTCTCACTTGAGGTCACTCTTCCCAAATGACCCTAGCGTGTTGTTGACTCAACAGTAAAACTAGCCAGCATAATGGGTGAAGCTACTCTCCTTGCAAAGGTCAAATGCCTGGAGTATAGGATGCAGTCTTACCAATTATAGGAGGGGTGGGTATTGAATTCTTCCAGATTTGGTGGGGTCTGGCAACTGACAGCAGGAGGTCCAGCTGCCTGGCCAACTTGAGCTGCCCACTGAAACTCAGGTAGTAGCTGGCCACTTTTACCTACAGTGACCCAGACAGTAGCCATTGGCCAGCTGGCTTGTATTTGACATATGACTAGTGCCAAGGGGAAACTGAGTGTTTTAGCGTTGTTTGATCTTAGCAACTTTACTAAGACATAGCTCACAATTCACACAGCTGTTCCTCTCTCTCTGTCTCTCTGTGTGTGTGTGTGTGTGTGTGTGCATGAGTGCCATGTATGCATGTGTGTTCATGTATGTACAGGTATGTGGGGGATGTGTGTGGATATGTACATATATGTGTGCCATGTGTGTAGGGGCCACAGGTCAGCCTTCAGTCAGTCTCTCACTGTCTTGGACTCACTGACTCGGGTAGGCTGGCTGGCCAGTGAGTCTGTGGCTCCTGGGCTGAGAGGCACCACCACAGCAGGCATTTTGATAGGGGAGAATACTCTGGTCCACACGACTGCACAGCAAACACTCTCTTGACTGAGCCACTTCCCCAGCTCCAACTCCCTCCTTTTAAGCAGACAGTGGCATTTAGTACATTCACCATTTGTGTGGCCATCACCAGCAGTGAGTTTCAGCTCAATTTTGTTTTTGTTTTTTGGGTCTTTTGTTTTTGTTTTTGCTTTTGTTTTGCAACATGAGCTCACTCTGTTAGCTCTTAGTGTCCTAAAACTTACTATATAAACCAGGCTGTCCTCAAACTCATAGAGTGTGCCTGCCTCTGCCTCCAGAGTGTCAGGATTAAAGGCCTGCTCTATCACTTCCAGATTCAACTCATTTTTGTCGTTCTAAGAAACAGCCTTGTACCTTGTAGCATGAGCCCCAACCATTTCCGGCCTAAGGAAACCATTAGCCTGCTTTCTGTCTGTCAGCTTGTCTTTGTAGCTATTTTGTATAAATTAAATCTCATAAAATACAGGTTGATTTTTTTTCACTCAGGATACTTTAAGGCTTGTCCATACACTGGCATGCATTAGTTTTCCATTCCTTTTTATGGCTGAGTAGAGATCATTATAGTGACAAATCACATCTTATTTCTAGCCCTTTGTGGCCAGTGGCCCCTGTATTAAGCAGGTCAAGTAAAACTGGTAGGAAGGGTGTGAGCCAGACATGCACTTTACACACCTGAATCTTTGTACTTCAGTGCTGCCCACCTAACCCCTGGCTTCTTATTTCCCACCCTTTAAAGTTCATCCCTCAGGGTGCGTGGCTAACAGGATGTCTCCTAGGACTGTCCTGCTTCCCCATGGTCCCCAGTGATGAAGGCTCCTTCCCTTGCACATCCACAGAGCCCCTGCTGTCCCATTCATAGCACAGGCCTGGGCATCCAGGGGCTTAGGTAGGTGCATCGAGAAAGGCAGGAGAGGACACTTTACTATGCACAGATTGCACAGCCTGGAAGACAACGAGGGTTTCATGCCTATGAAGAGCTGTCATTTGCTCCGCTGCTCCTCAAAGTTGGCATCAGCGGTTTCTGAGGCATGCCCTCTGAACATGCCATAGCACTGTGGTAAGCCTCACTGAGAGACGAGAGGCACCTGGGTGCTAAGTGCTGTGGGCCCACAGCTGGTGGAGGCTGGCCTTCCTTCTACAAACAGGACACAGGCATTTTCCTTCCAATCTACAAGAGGCCAGC